TTACCCAACCAGTCTCCTCAGAGGGGAATTATTTTTTATCTTTTATCTTAAAACTTCATGTCAGCTCTTTATTTTATATATCATTTTAAAAAGATTTATTTATTTATTTGAGAGAGAGAGAGAGAGAGAGAGAGAGAGAGAGTGTGTGTGTGTGTGTGTGTGTGAGCTTGCAAGCAGGGGGAGGCACAGAGGGAGAGGGAGACAGAAACTCAAGCAGACTCCCTACTGAGTGTGGAGCTCAATGCAGGGCTTGAACCTAAGACCCTGAGATCATGACCTGAGCCACTAAGATACCCATTTTTATATCATTAAAAAATTGTTAAGACATATCTTATGTATTAATTAATATGAGTCAACTAGACACATTCCCCAAAGCCTTTTATCTTCAGCCTTTTTGTTCCTTTTTGGTATATCACTCCTTAACTACTCCAAGTTCAGATTCCTGGTTGAAGACTTTTATGAAACTAGATATCAGTCCTCTGTGGGTGGGACTCTATACTTCCTTAAATCCACTTTCCTACTGCACAATGCTATTTCAGTGTTTCAGCATTCCAAACTGCTCTGAATCATGCCCCCAGTACAGTTTTCTAGCCCCTTGGCCCATTAACTCGCAATCTACATACCTTAATTATAATTTACAGGAACTCTTTGGAAGAGGCTATAGTTGTCTCCTCATGTCTCTCACTGTACCCACCAGCACAACCATCTAGTATACAATCAGTCTTAAGTCAGGAAGCATAGGCTAGGTTCTGCTGATAAGACAAACAACCCCATAATCTTAGTGGACTAACACAACCAAGATTTATTCTCGTTTACTCAAAGTTTACTGTAGGCCTACAGAACTCTCCAGGGCAGTTTCTGTTACATGGTGGCTCATTGCTGCTCCTCACACTCCCACAATCATCAAGGTAAGGAATAATTAGGGACACAGAGTTGAGCACCTGCAATTAAATACTTCCACCTTGAAGGGATATGTTGCTCTTATTTCATTGGCCAAAGCAGGTTAGATGACCGTGACTAACTTCAGCTTGGTAGGGAAGCACAGTCCTACTGTATGCCCAGCATGAGAGGGGAACCAGTTATCCGATGACAGTAGTACTAGGTGTCGCACACATGCCTGCCCATTGACTGAATGAAATTGAACATTCTGCTCCGTATGCAATTACCAGTCTTTTTGGTTATCCTATCATTTATCTCATTTCTTGTTTTGACTCTACCATTCCTGATAAGACATTACTTTAACAGACAAAAGAGACAAAATGCTAATTTAAAACACTCATCTAGATAGATGAAACTGAAGTGCTTTCGTATAATTGTGAAACCATCATTATCATGACTTCACATTAACTGCATGCTTTCCTTCATCACGTTAATTAAACAAGTCACTAAAACTTATGCCCTCCTTGCTCTTCAGATTAAATGCTTAGGCTTTACCAATGATAACTTCACAGTTACCTGCCTTGATACGATCCAAGCATCCTAAGATAAACACATTTCCAAAATAACCAGATGACACATTATGTATAACATGGGGAAAAAAACTTCCACACAGGAAGCAATATGAAGGACATACTGAAAAAACCTTTGCTTCATGATTTAGATTGATTTATTTAACAAGCACTCCCTAGGATAGATTTCAAGGGGGCCTTGAAATGAGGGCTTGATTAGTATGAGAAGAATAGCCATGGTTTCAGGAAAAAAAATGGTTAATTAAGCCTTTTATAACCTTCTGTGGCTTCTCCCTAACCTTACTGTGGCTTCCCCAAGCCCCGAGGGTTCTGGCTTCAGTACAGTGCTCTTGCCCATCCTGGAGCTATTCTTTATGCTCTTGACTTCAGCTACTGGCCTTATGTCCATCCCGGAATCCCTCTTGCTCTTTCCTACCTTTTCCCCCCGTGACACTGACTTTCTGGAAAATCCAGGTCAGCTGTCTTATAGAATGACACCCATGCCAGGTCAAGTTGCACATATTATGGGCTGTTTTTGTGCAGCACTGGAGCTAAGAACAGTTTTTATATTTTTAATGGGTTGTAAAAAAGAGAAATAAGGAAAGGGAGGAGGAAGAGAAGGAGGTAGTGGTAGGAGAATTATGTGATAAAGACCATATGACCTGCAAAAACCTAAAGTATTTACTACCTGGCCCTTTACAAAACAGTTTTCTGACTTCTGTTCTAGATCTTTCTCTTTTCTCATGGTATTATTTAGTTCGTACCTCAGTTTCTTGGATTTTTTGGCAAGTTGGAAATTAGCTCCGGAAATGTGCCGTCCAATATGGTAGTCAGGCAGGCACTTGAAATGTGGCTAGTGCAAGTTAAGATGTGCTGTCAGGATAAAATACACACCAGATTTTAAAGATTTAGCATGGAAAGAAGTGTATAATATTTCATTAGTGATTTTTATGTTGATTATCATGTTGATATAATCATATTTTGGATGAAAGAAAATGCATCATTAAAATTACTGGTACCTGTTTCTTTCTGTAATGTGGCTACTAGAAAATTTTAAATTACATATGTAGTTCATACTATATTTTTATTGGACAATGCTGGTATAGAGCCTTAATTAAAATCAGGTTAAATGTTCTTGGCAAGAATACGTCACAGTTCATTTTCTGTACATCATACTATGAGACACATAACATCAGTTTGTCTCATTAATGACATTAAGCTTGATAACTTGATTGAGGGGTGACTGACAAATATCTTCATTGTAAAAGTACATTTTTCCCCTTTGCTATTTGTAATCGGGTATAGCTATGAGACTATTGAGCGAGTTTCCCATTGACTTTTCACTTAATGGTTTTAGTATCTTTTGGTGGCCCTTGCTTGAATCAGTTATGGAGCCAGGGATTGCAAAATGGTGCGTGGGTGTGTGTTTTTTAAATATTTTATTTATTTATTCATTCATTAATGAGAGATAGACACAGAGAGAGAGAGAGAGGGAGAGGCAGAGACATAGGCAAGGGAGAACCAGGCTCCCTGCGGGGAGCCCGATTTGGGGCCTGATCCCAGGACCTCAGGATCACATCCTGAGCCAAAGGGAGATGCTCAACCACTGAGCCACCCAGGTGTCCCTGGTGTTTTATATTTTTAGAATTTCTTTTTAAATTTCTTATCTGGCATTCTTTTCTTACTTTCCCCTTTTTTTTCCTTAATTTTTCCCTTAAAAATATTATTTTTTTGTTTTTGTTTGTCTTTGTTTTTTAGTGGACACATCACTTTTTTTTTAAAAAAAGATTTACTTATTTCAGAGAGAGACAGAGAGCGAGAGTATGGGGGAAGTAGGGTCGTAGGGGCAGAGGGAGAGGAGAAGCAGACTCCTGGAAGAGCATGGAGAGTGGGTAGTGTGCTCCCTCTCTGGATCTGGAGATCATGACCTGAGCCCAAACAAAGAGTCAGACACTTAACCTCTTAACTGATGGAACCACCCAGGTGCCCCGCATCACTTTTTATGTATTCAATGTGTTACAATGAAGTGTAATGACTCTTTTTGATACTCCAATTTCCTTAAATGTGGCTGGTGGATGTCCAATACATAGTACACACATAGAGAAGAAGTAATATAGTTTACGGTGTTCCTCAAAGAAACAAAGCTTTCACATAGTAACCTCATCACATATGGGAACCATGGCTCCAGAGTAACTTTAAAAAAAAACAAACTTTTTTTTTCTTTTTAAATTTTATTTCTTTATTCACAAGAGACACACAGAGAGAGGCAGGGACCCAGGCAGAGGGAGAAGCAGGCTCCCTGCAGGGAGTCCAGTGCGGGGACTCGATCCCGGGACCCTGGGGTCACGCCCTGGGCCGAAGGCAGACGCTGAGCCACGCGGGTGTCCCCCCAGAATACTTTTTAAAGCCACGGTCCTTTCTCTTCTACCTCCCTTCCCCAGTGTCCGTCTATACTCTCAGCTGTAAGCAGATGCTTTCTTTGCCCCGCTGGGGGCCGGCGTGGTCCAGCTTGGGGGAGCTTGGGAGATCCGGCAGTTCGCAAGCCTGGCTGAGCATCACAGCAGACAGCCTGGGACGTGCACTAAAGCCTGAATCCTGGGGCCCTGCCCTAGACCCCCACACTCTGCGCGTGGACCGGGGCCCGGAGACCCGGCCTTGAACGCAGGAGCCTCCGATGTCATAGACTCAAAGGTTTAAGGAAACGGAGGAGCAAAGCAGTGGGGCCTAAGCGGGTCTCCCGACTGCAGATCCGCTGCTTTGGGCGGTGGCCCATTTCCGGAGGAGCATGGGGGCTTGTTTTCGTTTTAGGGTGTTGGGGGGGGCTTGCTTTTCTGGGTTCCTTAGACTCCCTGGAGGTGGCCTTCCCTCACGTTTCTCTCTGGACGTGCTAGGGGTTCCGCAGGGGCCACACTGGACGCTGCCCGGAGGGCGGGCTACGGCCCCGCACAGCTCGGACCCTCCAGGCCCGCCGCCCGGCGCGCGCTCTTCTCCGCGGTTCCCGGCACTCGCCCCGCCCCGGCTGCGTCTTAGCCCCGCCCCCGCGGCACATTAGGGTGGAGCCAACGTCGATGCCCCGCCCCCATACCGCCTGCTGCGTCTTAGCCCCGCCCCCGCGGTGCATTTAGGGCGGAGCCAACGCCGATGCCCCGCCCCCATACTGCCCTGCTGCGTCTTAGCTCCGCCCCCGCGGTACATTTAGGGCGGAGCCCCGCCGATGCCCCGCCCCTATTGCCCCTGCAGCGTCTTAGCCCCGCCTCCCGCGGGGACTTGGGGCGGAGCTATGCCCTCACCTGCCTCTGCTGCGTCTTAGCCCCGCCCCCGCGGTACATTTAGGGCGGAGCTACCCGCGGGGACTTGGGCTGGAGCTACGCCGACGCCCCGCCCTCACCCCGCCCCTGCTGCGTCTTAGCCCCGCCTCCCGCGGGACCCTCGGAGCGGAGCTTCGCCGCCGCCCCGCCCTTCCGCACGCTCAAGCCGCCGTGGGGGGCGTTTCCGGAACCTCTTAACCCGCGGAGCTGATTGGCTGATGGTGGCCGTACGGTGCCCGGGGTTTCCGGGATCTGAGGAGACCCGCGAGGGGGCCGCCATGGCTCCGGTGAGGCAGCCCTTGCGCGAGCTGCAGGGACCTCTGCTGCCACCCAAGAACCTGGAGGACGAGGACGAGGACTGTGTGAGGGAGGACGCGGAGGACGATGAAGACCTGGAGTTCGTGGACGCGGAGGAGCTGTGCGGCGGGGGCGTCAAGGCCGGCACGCTCCCCGGGCGCGTCCGCGGTGAGGGAGCCGCGGCCCGAGGGAGTGGGACTGCTGGAGGGAGCGCTTCCGGGTCGGCGGGTCGGGTGGGCGCCCCACGATCCAGGCTTTTGGCGGGGGGGTTGTTTACGTCCTCGAGGAAACAGCGGGACGTCAAGCCTGTGTTCACGCCCAGAAGGAGACTTGTGTTTTAAATTAATATTCATTTATTCATGAGAGAGAGAGAGAGAGAGAGAGAGAGGGGCAGGCTCCATGCAGGGATCCCGTGACCCCGGGGTCACGCCCTGGGCCCAAGGCAGATGGATGGTCAACCACTGAGCCACCCAGGCATCCCAGAAGTAGAGTCTTAGACTGTTTTCCAAAATAATAATAATAATAATAATAATAATAATAGTAAAATAAAATTGTTTTCCTGTCCTGCCTGGAGTCAAATATTTATTTTTCAGCTACCTGGACAGCACGCACACAGGAAGCGCCTCCAGGCGTGGTGGATTCGTTAGCGTCCTGATGAGCGTTTATCTTGTGCAGTTGCGGTGCTGTGGAGAGTCCCGGTGACGAGCGCACTGACTGGTGTTTAAGGGTCGTTGAGTGGTCACCCCCCCCTCCCCCCCCGAGACTGCTCTGTGCCGCAGGCCTCGCTCTGTGCTTGCAGCGCCTGCTCCCGTGGCCGCAAGCCGCCCGCGTCTATTGGGACCCTGAAATGCAGCTACTGCAACCGAGCAGCTGAATTTTAAGTTTTGTCTAGTTTTCATTAGAGTTTAAATAGTCACATGAGAGTGGGCAGCACAAATTTAGAAAGTTTTCTTTTTTTAAAAATATTTTATGTATTTATCCATGAGACACAGGCAGAGGGAGAAGCAGGCTCCTTGCAGGGAGCCCGATGTGGGACTCGATCCCGGGACTCCAGGGTCACACCCTGAGCTACTCTGACACTCTCCCGCTGAGCCCCCCGGGTGCCCTAGACAGACACTTGTCAAGTATTTGTGCAGGGTTACTCATTTATCCTAAAGTATTAGTGACTGGCTACCAAGTTCCAAGCAAGTGACTGCCGTTTGTTGCCGAGATGCCCAGGGAGATGAGATAATGAAGCTTCTGTCTTAATGGAGCTTATTCTTTGGTGAATTAAACAGGCATTCTTTAAACAATTACAGAAGTCACCATAATACTTGTTGATAGAAGGAATAATAAGCAGTGCTATGAGAATTTAGAATCTTGAGATTCAGGGAAGACTTTCCTGAGGAAGTGACAATTAAATTAGGATCTGTAGTAAAAGGGGGTTAAATAGCAAGGAAGAGAACATGTGAGGCGTGTGGAACAGCATATGCAAAGGCCCTGTGGTGGGAGGGACCATGGCATTTTTTAGAAACTGCAGGAAGGTGATTTTTGGCGTAGGTCAGAGTAGCAGAGAGATGTCTGTTTTTAGAAGAGAAACAACGGGATCCTTGCGGGGCTCAGCGGTTGAGCGTCTGCCTTGGGCCCAGAGCATGATCCTGGAGTCCCGGGATCGAGTCCTGCGTCGGGCTCCCTGCATGGAGCCTGCTTCTCTCTTTGCCTGTGTCTCTGCCTCTCTCTCTCTCTGTGTCTCATGAATAAATAAATAAAATCTTAAAAAAAAAATAGAAGAGAAACAACAGACTTTTGTCAGGTACCATACTTACCTCTTGGAACACAAGGACAAGTGAAATATTGTTTTCATTCTAGAGAGCTCACAGCTCAGTAAAGGGAAACAGAAACAGGTAAGTGGAATGTGAGATACCCTAAGAAACATCTGTACAGGGTGCTGTGGGGGGATTAAAGACCGTGGTAGATTTGGTAAAACACTGAAAAAGCGGTTGTAAAATATCTTACATTAACTTTTTCTTTTCTTTTTTTTAAAGTCATAATTTCTGATGAAAACACTCAAGAGCAATGTAACGTGTTTGGACGTTTTCCGATAATGGGTCCTTGGTGGCGAGTGAAGGTGCAAGTGAGACCTATGGGATTGAGGAGCTATCAAGTTCAGGGATTCCCATCTTACTTTTTACAGTCTGATATGTCACCACCAAATCAAAAAAGTATCTGTTCCCTGTTTCTTAGAGACTGTAATTTCTCCAGTGACAAGATAGATAAATTTTTAGCGTGGGTAAATGCTGTCTCAAGCTATAAAAACCTCAACTTTGAAAATCTTAGGGAAATGCTGAGAATTTTCCAAAAGGAAACTGAAGGGAAAGGCCAGAAACGGTCTACGCAGGATGGACAGGAAGAGTCTCTACCAGAAAACGAGATGTGCCTTCCTCTGGAAAGCAAAGGTAGGTGTGATTTTATCATCCAGTTTTATTATAAATGAGATACTTAATGAACTAGTGTGTTTAGAGATATTACCACTTTAGTATCTTGGCATACTGTTCTTTTTTAAAATCTGCTCTTGCAACTCTGTTTTCTGTTTCATTTAGGGCGCATCATTGTAATTTCCAGGTTCCTTATGGATAAGGTGGGGAGGTTTGGTGACATGATCTTTAAGCTTCTTCTAGTTCCTTCCCAGCTTTATTATTTTATTTATTTACTTTTTAAAGATTTTATTTATTTATGAGAGAGAGAGAGAGAGAGAGAGGGAGAGAGAGGCAGAGACACAGGCAGAGGGAGGAGCAGGCTACATGCAGGGAGCCCGACATGGGACTTGGTCCCAGATCTCCAGGATGACGCCCTGGATGGAAGGCAGGTGCTAAACCGCTGAGCTACCCAGGGATCCTCTCCCCGGCTTTAAAACTGTGTTTCTCTCTAACTTTTGTGTCCACGGGATTACCTGGAGTCATTAAGGGAAAGTTGAGTTGTCAGCTCTTCAGTTCCAATTATTATTCTGCTTAAGAAGGCAGAGGAGAAAGATAAGGATATTTTGGAGATTGCAGTCCAAAATGGTATGAAATAATTTCTTAGTATGGTTTGTTATCTGGCCACTCACATGAATAGAGTATTTCATTTCTTAATTATATCAAATAATTGATATGCAAGGGCATCACCGGATGACTTCAGTGACCAAAGAATCACGATGACTGTCAGGAAAATGGTTCTAAAGGTTAATATGTAAATGATTTCTTTTTTATGCTTAGCTTCAAATTTATCATTATATCACAGAGTCACAAATTTTACTCTGATTATATTATACGCAAAAGGAAAGAAAAGGCTAAGAAGTGGCTGTCTAAGCATTTGAAGAACATACATTTTGGAGTTAAACACAGTTTTTACCACCTCAGTACAAAATCAGTTGTATAAATCGCTCAGTTTTCCTGCCGGTTACAGTAAATTTCTTTCCCTCTCTTAAATTTCAATTTTTTGAGCTGGTTGTGCTACGGGGGGAAAGTCTATCACATCAGTTGTTCTGTGAGCTCATTTGTATGTTTTGTTTTGTTCTTTTCTCTGACCCTGTAGTTCCATTTATAACTGTAATGACAGCTTTGCAGTTTCCAAAAATAATGGAATTCCTTCCAATTCTTCTGCCTCGACACTTTAAATGGCTCATAAGCTCAGGTTCTAAGGAGCTTTTGGAAAACATAGAAGAGATGTTAGGTACGCATCCATGGAAACTTGGGTTTAGTAAAGTAAGTAAGACGTTTACTCGCCATTTAATAATCTTGAGTAAGGGAGGATTTCTCAAACGTGACAATTTTTACATCTCTTTCAAAGGAAAAAAATTTGTATGGACCTCAATGTTGATTTTTCTCTTAAGTGTGAGAACCAACTATAAATTTCTTATACCTGTAGCTCATATGAAGAAAATTTGTGAAGGAAAACAAAATAACAAAATTGATGACATTGACATTGTCAGTAATTTAATTATATAATTTAATAGGAAACATTTTTTTGGTAACCAAATGACCATTTGCAATGTGACTATGATCTCATTGAAGACACAAAATTCTTAGGAATTCGGCAAGTCCATGTTAATCCCTCACTTTCCTATTTGAGCTTTTGAAAACTGTCATTATTCATGTGGTACATCATTATATTATTTGAGGTTTTTTTTTTTATTATTTGAGTTTTTGATACAATGATATCACTTACAGATGAATCCCCTTCTGTTCTTATTATTAGAGACCAAGAGTAGGAATGGAACTATGAGGCTTCAGTGGAGTTGGAGACCAAGTGTAGCACTTAAATGTTGGCAGTACTTGGTTATGGGTGGTTTTCCAAATGAAAATACAATTTAAAAATTTCTGAGATAATTCTTGGATCCCCAAGAATGTTTATGAGCCCCCTCCCCCCAACCAATTTGAGATATACCAGAATAATGAATTTATCTCCTACATGACATGATGATGATTTCAGCATGTTTTGCAAAATGAAATTCTGGAACACTGGATTATTATATATATTCAGTAGAGAAGAGAGGCAGAGCAAAGCACATTCTGGGACTCAAGTGGGAACAGGAGACATGAAGTCCCACCATCCAGTTTGGAAACCACCATCCAAAATAAAGACCGTTACTGACATATTAGATGGCTGGGGCTGCCAACCCTCTAAATCTGTGCTTCACACCATATTCTGCGTGGCTCAAACAGTAGATATTTATTTTCTCACAATTAAGGAGGCTCTGAGTCCAAAATCAAGGTGATAGCTGATTGGTTTCTTCGGAGTCCCCTCTCTTTAGTACATGGTTGTGAGAAGACACTTCTCTCTGGGTCTTCCATAGTCTTCCTTCATGCCTGTCTGTCATCACCTCTCTTCTTATAAGGACTCCAGTCCAGTCCTGTTGGATTAGGTTCACCCCAGTTACCTCATTTTAACTTAATTACCCGTTGAAAGACCGTATCTCCAAATATGGCCACATTTTGGCATAGTAGCAGGTTAGGATTTCAACAAATGAATTTTGAGGGGACACATTTTAACCCATAAAATGTATGGAAGGCTCCAGAAAGGATGCTCCGTAGGAAAAAAAAAATGAAGCTGGTAGAGAACCTACTGAGTGGATCATGGTGAAGGAAGTTCTGTGCCTCTTCAGTAGAGTTTGGGCAGAATTGTTGAGAGACACAGAGAAACCTCAACCAGCTGAGACAGTCATCAACTTCACTACATATACAAGCGTTTGACGCAAAAGTTAATATAATTGTAATATATCGTGTCGCTCAGCTGCGAATCCTGTTTAGCACCGATTTAACCAAAATAATTTGATTAACAGCATGTATACCATAGCTTTTTTTCAAAGATGGGAAGAGAGGCATGTGGGGAAGTGTTGGCATAAAAGAGGGGGAGTTTCCGTAGAGAAAGACTTCCCATAGGAGAGGAGGTTACTACCTCCTCTAAAAAAAAAAAAAAAAAAAAAAAATTAAAAAATTAAAAAAAATTAAAATTAAAAAAATTAGAGAGTGGTATAAACAGTACTTAGAACAGTGTTGACCTTATGAGGCATGGGAAAGGGTAAGTCAGGGGATTCCTCTCTTGCAATTTGCTTGCTAGTGTTAATTGGCTTTTAAAACTGTATGTGTATTGTTTTGAGAAAATATAATTTTAATTAAAAACTTAGATCTTTAATGACAGTCTAGTAGAAACTTGGTGATGTCGTGGCTACCCAGTTTTTTCTCCAGGTTTCGTTGCTATACATGTCATCTGAGACATAAGCAATTCTTCTTATTTTATTTCTTTTTTGAGACCTAAGCAACTACCAACGAGTAACCCAGTTTTTATGTAGTCCTGATAACACCCGCCAGCACTTGCAATTTTCATAAGCAACTTGATCTCTGTTTCCTTGAAGATAACCTACACGGAGCTGAAGCTCTTGCAGTGCGAGGCCAGCTGGGCCTCATTTTGCCAGTGCCAGTCCCTCCTCCAGTCGATGGCTGATTTGGAGAAGCATGCGTTGATAATCTACTCCAAACTGAGACACGTATGTAGGGAGCAAGGGCACACGTGTGTCGAGGAAGCTGACCTAACTTACAGCTTGTCAGACGACATGTCTTTCCATGACGCTTGGCAGTCTCTGAAGTTTCTGAAGGACATCGGCGTGGTGACATACGAGAGGGGCTGTGTCTTTCTTGATGACCTTTACCGGGCGGAGCAGGGAATTGCCTCTTCCATATGCGACCTGATGACCAGGCCCCCGTGGCATTTGCAGGTCGATGTCAAAAGGGTGCTGGCAGCCCTTCAGGCCACAGGCCCCGAGGGCTCGAGGAGGAGCGTGGAGGCGTTGCATGGAAGTACGCCAGGCGCAGTGAGTGCAGAGCATTCTGTGGCCGTCCCGGGGGGCCAGGACGGGTGCACAGACACAGGCCCGGCTGGGCTGGATCCGGCCCAGGTGGCCGCCCTGGAAATGGTGTGCTCCAACGCCGTGACTGTGGTGAGCGGCAAGGGGGGCAGCGGCAAGACCAGCATTGTCAGCCACCTCTTTAAGCACCTGGAGCAGCTGGAGGAAAGTGAGGTCGAGCGGGCTTGCAAGGATTTTGAACGCGACCAGGACGTGCCGCCCGAGTGGGTCAGCTCCGCGGAGCAGGGGCTCCCAAGGCCGGAGCGGGCCGTGGAGGTGCTGCTCACCGCGCCCACCGGCAAGGCCGCCGGCCTGCTGCGGCAGAGGACCGGCCTGAGCGCCTACACACTGTGTCAGGTGGGAAGACTTTTCCGCATTTTGTTTTTTGTTGTTTTTGTTTTCCCTGCAGATAAAACCATTGGCCCGAAGCCGGGCTCTCCGAGGATCCTGCTTCGGGGCTGGCGCTGGCCAGTCGCTCAGCACTCCATGGCTTTCGTGGAGCCGGTCCTGCGTGGAAGGGAGCCAGCTAGCCCGGGGGTGTGCTGCGTGACGTCGTGGGGTCGTGGGGTCCGGCGCGGGATCCCGTCCCGGGGGCACTGGTTACATACCTGTTAGAGTCCGCACCCCTAGTCGGAGAAGCGCTTGTGTTGGAAGGAAAAGGCTGTATTCTATTTGATAGATGGAAAGCTGCATAAAAGTGAAGACTTTGGTCGTCTGGTTTTAGTTCTTTTTTTTTCTTCTTCTTCTTTTTTTTTTTTTTTTTTTTAAGATTTTACTTATTTATTCATGAGAGACACACACACAGAGGCAGAGACACAGGCAGAGGGAGAAGCAGGTCCATGTAGGGAGCCCCATGGGGACTCGATCCCGGGACCCGAGGATCAGGCCCTGGGCAGAAGGCCGTGGTAAACCGCCGAGCCCCCAGGGCTGCCCAGTTCTTTTCTTCTTTAAAGATTTTATTTATTTATCCATGAGAGACACAAAGAGAGAGAGGCAGAGACACAGGCAGAGGGAGAAGCAGGCTCCCTCCTGGAACCCCAGGATCATGATGGAGGGGAAGGCAGATGCTGAACCACTGAGCCACCCAGGTGCCCCTGGTTTTAGTTCTTTGTCTCCTTCCCATAGCAATGCCTGGTAAACAGTCATGTAATAAAATTTTCAAATAAATTAATATTCTTGAGAAACAGTTTTGGCACTAGTTTGAAGTCATGGAATTTTAAACTTGTAATAGCCTGACCTGCCATTTTATAGATCAAGGAACTCCATTGTTGGAAGATTCCTAAAGGATATAATCATTGACTTGGACTGCAAAAGACAGAGAGGCTCAGGTGAGGAGGACATTTTATTTGGGGGGAAGGCCTTTCCATAGGCATTGAAGAAGTGATCATAGTGTGTGGAGATGGTCTTGAGGTGGTGACTGCATTGATTAGAGTGAATTCTGTGTATTGTAAAATAATGGAAATTGAGTTTGGTGTAGACTGGGAACTTGAGCTTTAATGTTTGCAAAGTATCCCATTAAATCCTTGATAAACTAGTGAAGTGAGTAAGTGATATTATCTCCATTTTACAGAGGAGCCAGTTGAAATTTGAGGGTATCGAACAAGTTGCCCAAGATCGTAACCAGGTGCAGAACTAGCACTTGGATTCAGATGTGTGACCTCCCTGCTCGTTGCTCTTTCCGTGGTGCATAATTTCCTCCTTACTCCAGACCTTGCATATCCAACAAAGAAGCTTGGACTTGGTTACTGGGGAGCCATTTAGGATCCTCAGCAAGAGAGTGAAATGCTGAAGAAAGTTTTAAGAAAGATTACCCAGAATCCCAGCGCCATGAGCCACCTCAGAAATGACATTATACATTGCGTTTATTTGTGTTCAGTGTAGAAGCTCAGGATAGCTCACTGACGGCAGAGTCTTCTGATCAGCTTATGATTTTTCCCATCTGATTAGTCTGAAGGGTTGGCTTAGAAGAGAAGAGCTAGAGAGGCATTATTAATAAATTTCATCTTATGTTCTGACTCTGATCAATGGAAGTATCTTAATATCTGCTTGGAATGCTGGGAGGATATTTCTGAAGCCACGTGTAGGGTCAGGAGAGCGTATAGATAGGGCCATCAGAAAGGCATTCATGCGGCACTTACACCATTTATTTACCATCCTTGGGCTAGGGTTACCAGTTTACCAGGTGGGACAGATAAAAATAAAATTATTCTTTTAGTGTAAGCATGTACTAAACACTGCATCAAACATACTTGTGCTAAAATGTCATTTACTGTTTATCTGAAATTCATATATTTTATCTGGCAATCCCATTGTGGATCAATGTGCAGGGGAACCCGGTTGTAAGGCTGCGGGAGTAATCTAGCCTCCCAGATGGGGCCTGTGTTTGGTTGGTAGCACTAAAAATACAGGGGAGAGTCTCACCTAGACATTTCTTTTTATTTTTTTATTTATTTTTATTTTTTTTTTAATTTTTATTTATTTATGATAGTCACAGAGAGAGAGAGAGAGGCAGAGACACAGCAGAGGGAGAAGCAGGCTCCATGCACCGGGAGCCCAATGTGGGATTCGATCCCGGGTCTCCAGGATCGCGCCCTGGGCTAAAGGCAGGCGCCAAACGGCTGCGCCACCCAGGGATCCCTCACCTAGATATTTCTAAGAGAACTGATTGAATTTATAAAATCAAAACAAGCCACAGTGATTCAGATGTTCTGTTGAGACAAGGCCACTGAGAGAATGGGGGTTTTGTTGAAGGGAATTGATGAATTTGGGTGGAAAATATGAAGGCTTTTACTTAATAGACATGCTAAAGTGAATTGAAGCTTCAGCAGAAAAATTAAAGATATGATACAATTTAAGAAATCGGCATAGGTATGTAGTGTATACATGCATGATTCCAACATAGACACATTTTGGGAATGATGTATATACCAAAATATTTAATGTTCTCAGGTTTTATTTTCCAAAGTTTTCTCCTTGTCTGTATTTTTTTAAAATAGTAAATATTATTGCATCTTTAATAGATAGTTTTTTAACTTGCTTTGTTGTTGGTTGTGGGTTTTTAAATGTTGGGAAAGTAAGGGAGCTTAGAATGTTAGAAGAAAAATAGTATGTTCATAGTTCAATTGAGAAGGCAGCCTTTTTTTTTATTTTTTTTATTTTTTTTCAATTTATTTATTTATGATAGTCACAGAGAGAGAGAGAGAGAGGCAGAGACACAGGCAGAGGGAGAAGCAGGCTCCACGCACCAGGAGCCCGATATGGGATTCGATCCCGGGTCTCCAGGATCGCGCCCCGGGCCAAAGGCAGGCGCCAAACCGCTGCGCCACTCAGGGATCCCGAGAAGGCAGCCTTTTATTTCCAGAATGGAGTGGTACAGTTGGGAGGAGAGGAGGGCTGAAGTGACTGTCCATCTCAGAAAGCCAAGAGAAGGTTCATTTGGGAATGGAAAAGATTAGGGAGCTCTGTGTGGTCAAGAGCGAAAAGAGGAGGTTAAGATTTTGGCAGTAGAGTAATGCTATGTGTGATGTTGTTTAAATACATGTAGTACTTATCAGGAAGCATTTTTTTTTTTAAACTATTTGATATTTTTTGTTGTTTTTGTTTTTAGATTTATTTGATCTATCTTTTCTCTGTATCCATCCCTTTAGGGTTTTAAAAAGTTTTAACTTTTGTGTTCTTTATTTCTTTAGCCTGTTTCTCTATGTGGCTTTACCCACACCATCGCCCGCTCCACCCCCACTGGCCCATTCAAGAGTCTTGTTTCAAAATAACATGTTGTTAAGATGTTGACTTGTAAAATTTATACCCTGAATTTAGAAATGCCATAATTTGCTTGTAGGTCAATTATAGCTTCTATTTATGGGAGAAAAAAAGCTCGGCCAAGAACGGTCCATGGAAGTTTTCTTCAGTGAGAGTTCTGGTTGTGGATGAAGGGAGTTTGGTATCTGTCAGAATCTTCAAATCGGTTTTAAAGTTATTGTGTGAGCACTCCAAACTTTCGAAGCTCATTATCCTTGGTAAGTTAAATATTGTTGGAATCCTCATTGTTTTGTTCAAAGCTTTGCAGTTGGTGGGGTGCTTACAGCATTTCACAGTTTCAGTGTCCCTGTCCTCCAGGTGCGAAGCCATTTCTCAGAGCCCACACTCCAGCCCCCCTGGGTTCCATCCCTCTGTCGGCTTGGGTGGTTCCTCATTTGGGCCAGGGTATTAGCAGACTAGGCTGCGAGATGAAATAGAGTCGTGAGGGGTTACTGTTAATCACCTAAATGATGACTGTTAAAATAGTAAAAATGTCACACGCTCAGAGTAAATAATGATGTGGATCATTTAGAAATAATAAAAAGTCTGAATTATAGACCACTTAGGAGTGAATTTATGATTTTCAGCTAATAACTCAAGGTAGATGTCACTAGCCTCCTAAATCCTTTTCCATTCTGGTGAGAGTTAGATTCTATTGGGTACCCCTGGCCTGTAGCCTGTATGATTTCATGGAGAATCATATGGTGAGAATCAAACTGTATACAAATAATTCTCTTAGGTCTTTGGGGATATGCTATAAGCAGTTGACTTTGTTAATAGCTTAAGCACTTGCCCAGTCTCCACTGAGAAAATAGTTGTTTTTCTTAACTCCAGGGCTGGTTTGTTTAAAGAGATTTTTAGTAGAGCCAAACGTTATCATCATATTACAGGAATTTATCTATGAGCAAATAGGTTGGGTTTGTCTATTTTGTATTTTATATGTTTATTTTATTTATTTGAGGCCATAGATTCTTCAGGGTCTACTAAGACATTGAGCAAGATTGAGTTGGTGACTGAGTGGCATTTACCTAAGATTCTAGGCCTGTTTTTCTCTTCCAATGAGAAAATGGCTAACATATATGCCCCTACACAGTTTGCCTGGGGTTATAGGTATGAAGGAAGTTCAATTCAGATTTTACCTTACTGTGTTATCACTGTTTTTTATATCTCATACTGTTTACTTTGAATGCTTTGCTGCTGTTAAATATTTTTAAAGAGTTAATGTTCTTAAGTAATTTTATTTTTTAAAAGATTTTTAAATTTATTTATTCATGAGAGACAGAGGGAGAGACAGAGACACAGGCAGAGGGAGAAGCAGGCTCCATGCAGGGAGCCCGATGTGGGACTCGATCCCAGGACTCTGGGATCACACCCTGAGCCAAAGGCAGATGCTCAACTGCTGAGCCACCCAGGTGCCCCTTAAGTAATTTTATTTATTTATTTATTTTTTTTCCCTTAAGTAATTTTAAACAAAGATTTTGGGGGACGTTTTTTCTTAGAATAAATCTTTATAATTATAGCATATATCAGTTGGGAGAGATAAAAACAGCTTCTAGATTTCAGGAACCCTGTTACCAAAAACCTACTGTATCTTACTCGCCTTTTAGGTGATATTAGACAGTTACCCAGCATTGAACCCGGTAACTTGCTGATAGATCTTTTTGAGACTCTTAAGTCAAGAAATTGTGCTATTGAACTGAAGACAAACCACAGAACAGAATCTGAGCTAATTGTGAACAATGCCACAAGGTATAGTATAATGAAAATTTTACATTTTCTCGCCGTTGCATTAGAAATAAAAAGTAAAAACAATACCTATTAGCTTTTGAATTAGGACAGCTCAGTGCAGTACGTTTACTGTGCCCTTCTAACGAACTTATTCTATCCTTCAGGTATATATATTGTCCCACAGTTAGAAAAACAAATACAATGTTTTTCGTTATTGGTCTAGCATGAATTACTATTGAAATTTAAGAATGAATGTGTTTTCCTGATTTAAAGTATATATGTGAATTAAAGTTGCATCAAGTCTAGACTCTAGAATAAACGCAAGGGGAAAAGAGACTTGGAAATGAGCTCATTAAAGTTCAAGGGAGAATGGGGAAGACTTATCCCCTAATTTTTGTAAGGGCAGCCCTACACCAAAAAAAAAAAAAAAAGGAATATGGTATTTTACTCCTTGATGAATCCTGATGGCATCAATGGCATATCACTCCCCTTAGTGTAGAAAAGAATCCTTCTCTTCCCTCTGTCTTTGTGTAAGCCTTCAGGGTGATTCCCCAGTAATAGACATAATGGGATCTCGGAATACTGAGAGACTGTTTTATTCATTGGACTAAAATTTATCTTTGGTTTTTGACACTCTTTTATAAAATGTTGTTTTCGTTGCTTGAACATTTTCTTGTTTGGGTACAGCAGAAATGAGAACATTCAGAACCTCCTTCTCTATGCCCCTGTCTGACTGGGAGAGGATTGTGGGAGTATGGGAAGGATTGACAAGAATAGGGTAGGATATTGTAGGTTCATATGAAGACATTAAGCAAAAGAATGCAGTTGGAGGGGATCCCTGGGTGGCGCAGCGGTTTGGCGCCTGCCTTTGGCCCAGGGCACGATCCTGGAGACCCGGGATCGAATCCCACGTCTGGCTCCCGGTGCATGGAGCCTGCTTCTCCCTCTGCCTGTGTCTCTGCTTCCCTCTCTGCATCTCTCATGAATAAATAAATTAAAAAAAAAAAAAAAAAAAAGAATGCAGTTGGATGTGTGATACCTTTTGGTCTAACTTCTGCTTCTACCTAAAGGCCACCTCATTTGGGGGAGTTTCATAGATGAATGGTCACTGAAAAGTCTGACAATCTTGAACAAATCTAAAGCACTTTAGATTTCTTAGAGTCAGTTTTATCTGAAACTTAGGAATTCCTCTTATTAGCCCTTTTGATGTCATTTGAACTCTGCTGCTTTTATCATTCCTTCTTAATTGTCATCACCAAATACTTAATGTCACAAGGATCCCAGTGATAGCAGGGACGGACTCCTAAAGATGGAACTGTGTTTCATGTTCTGGATCAGAAGCCAAACAGGAAATCTGTGGTGATTCTCAACACCCCCCAGATTAGATCTGGGATATTCCAGCAAGAACAACCTTCCTTTTCTTCCCTTTCAGCCCTATGGGGAAGGGTTGAAGATGGCACTAGGGAAGCATTAGCTTTGATAGCCAGGTTGCTGTTAGGTCTTTTCAGGGAGTCGATCTTTTTCCATATAACCAAGGAGAGACTCTGTTATGACAAGGCATCTGCCCCTTACATACTCTGTGTTCTGATATGATTGGCTAGTCTTGAGAAACACAAGAACAAAAGAAGGATGAAGGATTGGAAGCAAAGAGAAGATGTGGATACTTGGTTCACCTGAGAAAATGAGGCCATATGTATGATATACAGAGAAGAAAGGAGAAAAAGAGTGTGATGTAAGCGTATGGAAAAGGCCCCAAAGAGTCCAGATTAATTGAAGTAGAAAAGGCCATGGAGCCAGAAGGGCCCAGAATTACCTCCTAGCTCCTCTGCTTTCCTTTCTACCTCTGTGGCCATGGGCAAACCACTGCAGTTGCAGAAGCCTCGTGCCGTTCACCTGTGAAATGAGGATAATCCCTACCTTGTATAGTTCTTGTGTGGTCTGAAGGAAAGTAGGTCAAGTTGTTAGACTGGGAAATTCCTTGACAGTTTTTCCTAATGCTTTTGTTAGAGGTAGAGGACTGATTGATTAGTGTAACATTATGCTTGCTAATTCCATTTTAAAACTCATTTACAATTTGTAATGCCTATGTGGATAGCCTTTTCATCTTACTTACTCTCTATTAGCAGATAGTAGTTATTATAATGACATATCTGATGATACATGAAAACCCGTTTTCGGATACTGATGTTCTTGCTGTGCTGTGTTATTTTATCTTCACCTAAGAATCTCAAGACGCCAATTTCCAGTATTTGATGCAGAACTGAATATCTCTGATAATCCAACATTGCCTATCTCAATACAAGATAAAACATTTATTTTTATCAGACTCCCAGAAGAGGATGCCAACTCTCAGTTATCAAAAAATGATCCTCACTCTCGTAAGTATAAACTTTTCAATTATGCAGGATTACGATTTCAGTTTTGTAATATACTTATGAAATGCCCAGTTATAATTTTATTTGATAGTAAAGTGAAATATTGCTAGTAAAAAATCTAGGCACTGAAAATAAACTACTTTGTAAGTCATCAAAACTACTTTGTTCACCTTCGAAGTTCGTAAAGAAATAAGCTCTCCCAGGCCGATATACGTAATCCAATCTGCCTTAACAGATCTTGCCTATAACATCTCATACTGGAAGGGATTTGGAAGGACTCGTGATACACACATAGACACACACACACAAGAAATAAGCTCTTGACACATACACTAAGGGCTCAGTAAATATTTGTTGAGTGAATAAATGGATGTAGATGATTAGTTTAAAACGAAGGAAAGCCCCAGGAATCCAAGTTCATTCAGAAGAAAGCATATCCTAATTAATGAAGATTTTCTTTTGTAGCAATTGGAAATGGAATTACATTTGCTACATTTGTGAACCAAACGTAATGGTTGTCAAACTGTTGCCAAGTTGAGTTCCTACTAGTTCTTTCTGTTGCTTATAAAATGGACAAGCATTGCTTCTAATTATGGATGTTAGGATAACAACATCGCAGGATCAAAAAGAGCACAGGATGCAGAGTCTTCTCCCTTATGTGTATGACCCATGTCACGTCACATAGCCATTTGTAAAACGGGAATCATAGTGACACTGCCCATGGAGCTGTTTTGGGGGTTGAGGGCATTCATCTGTTTTGAGAGGCTATATATAGGCTCGAGATGAGGCTGTTAGCTCCATAACTGTTAGTTTTTTGTGAAGAATGGATATTTAGTGATCTATTACAAATCGATTAAACTTTTTGATCTTTACTTGTATTATAAACTTAGCAAACTTTTTAATAGCATAATGGTTTGCTCAAAACTGAATTAGTGAAGATTTATATGATTATTATTGAGAATTTATTGTAGTTGCCGTTGTTCTTAGGGGTATATCCTAACTCCTTAGCTACTTTCACTCCTTTGTGAAATTGAGTGATGTAGTGCTTCATGTATAAGCCTCTCCTGCTTTGTGGGTCATAGTTGCAGTTCCCTTGGGTTGGGGTCCATTTACATGTTACAATAATTTTTTTTCTTTTGGAATGGGACCATATAATACATTGTATTCTATAAATACCCTTTTAGTTTTTTTTTTGATTATAGAAATAATTTATATTCCTTAAAAATGGTCAAATAATTCAGAAGTGTTTGAAGTAAAAATGATTATTGCCCTGTAATCCTCCTCTCCATTTCCCCCAAGGCAGCCCCCAAAAGGTCACATGCTATTCCTGTTACTCATCTGCTACTCTTATATGTAGTAAGAGCTTGGTGTTGATCCTTTTAAACCTTGTAATATCCATACACAAGCATATATTATTTATTTTTGTTTTACATAAATGAAATTATAAGGTGCACATTGCTTTATTATTTTTTTATTAAATATATTGTGAATAATTAATAGGTGATATTCTCACAACAGCTTAGCTAAGAGTAGATACTAATACGGATGAAAAAGATGAGACTTACTTAGCCCATTAAGGAACGTGCCCTCCTCGCCACTCCATTCCGATCTACCTGAAATATGGTTAGTTTTATTTCTGGCTCCCATTCTTTCCATTACTGAGAATGTACATTAAGGAAAAAAGTGGTCTGTTTCAGAAGGACAGTAGAGCTCAACTGATGCTATTTTTCTTTCTCAATTACAAATTTCAGCTAGAAAATTAATCCCTTCTTTAAAAGCACTGAATAAATATTCCTGAGAGAGAGAGAGAGAGAGTACTTTTCCATTGATAATTAAGTTACTGAGTACATTATTCCCATTATTACAAAGTACAGGGACCAAAGACGGGCTTCATAGCTGGGCTGGAACTCCAGAGATGTTGAAGTGTGAGAAAAATGTATATTTTAGAATCAATGAAAATACAGTGTACATATTGATCTGTAAGATGTCGAGAGAATGAAGAAAGCAAGGAGCAGAACAGCACGATCGTATGTGTGAAGGAAAACAATATCCTGTGAGACCTTTGAAAATTTCTCCTCTGGCAGGCTAGGGGCTGACCGGGGTGAGCTGAGCAGTGGCCATTTTTTAGGGAGAATCTTCTCATCTCAACAATAAAGGGCTCAGTAAGCAATTAATTTAGTCTTCCTAGAGCAGGGCATCCTGAGGCCTGGGCTTTTTCATTCCCCTGTGATTTATCTGCTACGAGGGGGAGGACACAGGAGTCTAGAATGTTCTTACCTAAATTTTTATATCTTCTCTCTCTCATGAGAAATGTTCACTGTTTTGTACTATTGGTAAGACAGATTAGAGGAAGTCTACTTCTCAGTGCTTTGAGGGAGAATGTAAGTGGATGTCATCATTGTCAGTGATCTGGGGTCTAAAAGAGGGAGGCCAGCCACCCTCCACCATTTGGAAAATTAGTTTTACTTCCAAGAGCCTCAGCTTCACATTTATATCTAGAATGCAATTGGTGTTTGTGCCCAAACTATATAATAGCTAGTAAGGTATGGATGTCCCTGCTGTGCCAGGGTTAACCTTTTAGTTGCTGGATCCTGGGGGGTCCTGAGGGAAGCAAACACAGGATGTGGGGGTGGGGATCAGGCATTGTGGTATTTGGGGAGTAGCTGTTTTCCATCCTTTATGGAAGTATCTCAATATTTTATACTAAATGTCAACCTTGGATTGAAGGCCTCCCTCCTGTGAATGTTGTGAAGATTAAGTGAAATAACGTGTGCCAAGTATAAAGCTCCTCAGATGATAACTCTGTGCCACCAGAACTTAAAACAGAAGTCTTACCTTACAGTAATTCTGTTACATGTTTTGTCCTCTTGCTCATATTTTACATTCAGCATTCACAAACCATCAGTGCTGAGAGGTTGTATTGCAGATTAGGGGCTGTATCAGCTAGTGGCTGACGTCTTTTGAGGTTAGGGCATCTGGAACCCTCATCACCGTTCCTCTTCTGGTCCTCTGGCTGCTGTGGCAAATGGAATTGATGTTCCCATGGCCAACTGGTATTCCATTCCCCCTTAGCAGGAATTCTGAGTTAGTTTCTCCATTGAAACAATGTGTAATTTGGTGTTTTTCTGTGTTAACTTTTTTCTCTTCGATTACCAGATTTATATTCTGCAGTGAGAACCTTACTCAAAGAAAATGACCTACAAGATGCACAAACATCACAGTTTATTGCATTTAGAAGGTAAAGCCTTTACAGTATTTTAGCATTCTTAGTCTAGCTTTTAAATCTCATAATTTATATAGATACTGTTTAAATGGGAGATTCTCCTCATTCATCACTGCTAATTCTCTTCTAATTTTGAGGTATTTTTTTGTTAGGTGTGGCAGAGGGCAGTTTATAAAAAGGGCTCTTTCGGGGCACCTGAGTGGCTCAGTCAGCTAAGTGTCTGACTCTTACTCTTGATTTTGACTCAGGTTGTGATCTTGAGGTTGTGAGATCAAGCCTGTATCAGGCTCTGAGCTAAGTGCTAAGTGCAGAGCCTGCTTGGGATTCTCTCTCCCTGGCTCTCCGCCCTTCTCCCCACTTGCACTATCTTTCTCCGTCTCAAAATAAATACATCTTTAAAAAAATAAATATACAGAGCTCTTTCTACTAAATAATTATATTTGGCAACTCCCATGAAATATGAGTGGAACCAGGATTTACATTTATTTATTTTTTAAAAAGATTTTATTTATTTATTCATGAGAAGCACAGAGAATAGGTCAGAGACACAGGCAGAGGGAGAAGCAGGCTCCATGCAGGAAGCCCTATGTGGGACTTGATCCCAGGACCCGGGATCACGACCTGAGCCCAAGGCAGGTGCTCAACGACTGAGCCACCCAGACACTCAAGATTTACATTTAGATAAAAATTACAGAGGCACCTGGCTGGCTCAGTCAGTGGAGCATGAAGCTCTTGATCTCAGGGTTATGAGTTTAGGCTCCATGTTGAGTGTAGAGGTTCCTTAAAAATAAAATCTTTTAAAAAATAAAAGATGGGCAGCCTGGATGGCTCAGCGGTTTAGTGCTGCCGTTAGCCCAAGGCGTGATCCTGGAGACCTAGGATCGAGTCCCACGTCGGGCTCCCCGCAGGGAGCCTGCTTCTCTCTCTGCCTGTATCTCTGCCTCTCTCTCTCTGTCTCTCATGAATAAATAAAATCTTTAAAAAAAAGATAAAAATCACAAAATGCTTTTTCCTGGAGAAATTCCTGGAGATTCTTTTTTTGTTTAAGATTTTATTTCTTTAAATAAAATAGAACGAGAGAGCGAGAGCCTGAGCAGGGGACGGGCAGAGGGAGAGGGAGAAGCAGACTCTCCACTGAGCCGGGAGCTCGATGCGGGGCTTGATTCCAGGGTCCTGGGATCCTGACCTGAGTGGAAGGCAGATGCTCAACTGACTGAGCCCCCCAGGCACCACCTGGAAGCTTTTTATAGCATACAGTACGTTGTCATTGTTGGTAACAGGAGTGAGCGTACGACAGAGACCGTTAAGGTAACCCTTGCTTGTTCACTGTTTCAGGCAAGACTGTGATGTCATCAACGCCTGCTGTTGCAAGCACTACACGGGCCACCTGTTCAAGTGAGCAGTAAAGATCCAGAAGCTCTGGGACAGTCCTTCCATTTGTTCACCGTTCTTTTATTTTTTATGTTTTTTTAAAAGATTTTATTTATTTGTTAATGAGAGACATACAGAGAAAGAGAGAGAGAGAGGCAGAGACACAGGCAGAGGGAGAAGCAGGCTCCATGCAGGGAGCCCGACGTGGGACTCGATCCCGGGTCCCCAGGATCATGCCCTGGGCCGAAGGTGGCACTAAACCGCTGAGCCACCCTGGGGATCCCCTCTTTTATTTGTTTTCACATGTATCACTGTAGCCACACATTTAAAAATCTTTTTTTAAAATCTCATTTGTGAAGTAAAATTATCTCTTCAATTGAGTATAATATATATGCTTAGGAACTGACTGTTGTGATCATCAGCATAATAAGAAAAATAAGGCATACAGTTTTCCTTGTGGTTTTCAAGTTGGCCCCTCCAGCTTCTCCAAGATGAATGTGGGGAGTTCAGAATTTGTTCCAAATGTAATACGTGCATAGGTGTGTCCAAGAACCTCAGCAACAGGATGCCTGCAGAAGGCCCCTTGGTGGACCTCTATCAGAGAAATACGAGTGTGGAAAGGTCGCTGTTTACACACAGGAAGAGTTAACTTGCTCCTCTTGCATTTATCAACACCTGCTATTTATTAAGTGCAGAGAACATAGAGATGTGGAACTTCCAGGAGGAGTTCCCTGTCTGCTGAGGGAAGACACACTCGGAAACCACATTTGGTGGCCTCACAGAGGGCTAGAAAGTGCCAATGGGAAGTCACCCGCTCTGTGTTCCAGTGACCGATCGTGGCAGACAGTTTGATTTTTCCGTATGCATAAAAAGCGAGTACCAATGCAGCATTTCCCTCATGGCGTGGTAGTGAGGTTGAAATGAAATATCTCTAGAGCACTTAGCACAGTAACTGGTGTATCACCAATGTTTGTTCAGTTTGCTGTTATTCTGAGGTCATAATTATTAGGCTAGAAAGATGTAGACGTGTGGGGTAAGATGTGTATAGGATAGCGATAGAGATTGGAGAAGAGGGGATGGATTTAAAAAGTAGACTCAATAAGATTTTGGGTAACTTTTAGAATACAGAGGGAAAGAGACATCAGCATTTATGCCACGATTTCTAATTTGAAGATTTGGCTGGGAAGTGTCACAGAGTTTGAGGTGCCACAGAGAGGAGAAGTAATCAGACCGTGACTGTGGGAACCTGATTCCTCATCAACATTTGGAGAACAAAAGTGTAGTAAAGAGAGTGTGGAAATCATTTTGAAAATTGGATCAGATCTGGATGGGGGTTAATGCTTAAACAAAATGAAATTGAGGTTTTTCAAACCTTGATGACGTATTGTCATTTCCCAAACCAGAGACCATCGGAATAGACTTCAGTTTGGAGTTGGCGATAAGATTTGTTGTACCAGGAATGCATATCTCTCGGAGTTACTCCCCCAAAATACCTCTCACAGTCAGGAAGGTAATGACCGAGAGGCCAGTGGTGAAGACTTTAATGGCACTCCTCATGGTTTTGCTAAAAATAAGCATGACTTTGAAAGTGATATTCGACTCTGCAATGGAGAAATATTTTTTATAACACAGGTAAGTGATGACAGAAAAGTAGTACCTTTTTATTTAATAGAGATAGTTTTTTTTTTTTAATTGGCCAAGGTTTGAGTCAAAATCTAATCATCTCAGAGTTGACATTCTTCTGTAATTTTTTCCTCAGGATTTTTGCATTCATGTTTATGAGGGATACTGGTTTATAATTGTCTAGTAATGTATGGTTTTGGTGTCCGAGTAATGCTGGCTCATAAAATGAGTTGGGGCATGTTCCCTTCTCTTATATTTTCTGGAAGACTTTGTGAAGAAACATCTTTGTTTTTAAAATGTTTTTATTTATTCATCCATCAGAGACCCAGAATGAGAGGCAGAGACAGAGGCAGAGAGAGAAGCAGGCTCCCTGAGGGGAACCCGATGTGGGACTCGATCCCAGGACTCTGGGGTCATGCCCTGAGCCAAAGGCAGATGAGCAACCACTGAGCCACCCAGGTGCCCACAAGAAACATCTTTTTTAATAAGTTCAGAGAGCTTGGCTAACAAAAATAAGGGACAAGTGACACAATTGTATTTTGCAGAGCATCATTTCAGCGGTTGGTTGCTGCTTAACTGTAGAAACGAGAAGTTTCCTTGAATTTGTTGTCATTGTATAAATGCCCTCTTAAACTCAGAAGCTTATTCTTTACAAGCTTGAGGAAAATTAAACTTTTTGCAAAGAGTATATGCAGACTTACATACTGTAAGGAGTGAAATATATAGGTTTCAGAATAAGTCAGACAACATAGATTATTCTCCACACAGTCAAATTAAGGTCAAGTGTCAAGCTGATTAAAATTTGTGTTTGATAGGCAGCCCAGGTGGCTCAGCGGTTTAGCGCCGCCATCAGCCCAGGATGTGATCCTGGAGACCCGGGATCGAGTCCCACGTTGGGCACCCTGCATGGGGCCTGCTTCTCCCTCTGCCTGTGTCTCTCTCTCTCTCTCTCTGTCTCTCATGTATTCAGTTGTGCTCAAGCATAGATTTTAAGCCTTTTGAAAGTTAACAATTGTGAGCACACGTGCTATTTGACCTGTGTTTGCATTTTGTGTTCAACACAAAAATAAAATCTCTCCAGTGTGCATATTTGAAAACATATCAAATAGTTCTTTCTTTTGGTAATAGGATGTCACCGATGTAACTTTTGGAAAGAGAAGATTTTTGACCATTAATAATGCGGCCGGCTTGGAAATAACTGTGGACTTTGAAAAACTGATGAAATATTGTCACATAAAACATGCATGGGCAAGAACTATTCACACTTTTCAGGTAACAGTGGACATTTATAAAGCTATTTGAACAGGTTTCAGAGCCATTGAGTACCTTTGATGATTTTCTTTTTAATTTCGTTGCCTTTATTTTTTTTAGTTAGAAACAAGGTTACCAAGGTTTACCTAAATGGCATTGTGATGTTTATTTTTGCAGCTTACTTTTTTACTGTCTTATAATCAGCTTTATTGGGGTATAATTTTTTTTTCTGTAATATTGGGGTATAATTTGCATAGGCATTTATATTTATAAAGCTGGATGGGTTTTGACAAATGTATCCCCTTCCTTTGTTCTTGTGAGGCAACTGCTTTCTATTTGGGAATAATTTTAGTTTTATACAAGAGCTGGAAAGGGAGCACAGACTCTTCCCACATACCCTTCATCCAATTTTCCCTAATGTAACATCTTACACAACTATGGTGTTTTTGTCAAAACTAAGAACTTACCATTGGAAAGATACTATTAACTAGGCTACACACTTTATCTGCATTTCAGTTTTTTCATTAATACCCTTTTTCTGTCCCAGGATTTAATCAAAAACATTGCATTTAGTGCAGTTTGCATTTAAACTCTGAGTTTTTTTGGGAGGAGGTGTAGAAGAGGAGGGAGATAGAGAATCTTTTTTTTTTTTTAAGATTTTATTTATTTATTCATTAGACACACACACACACACATACACACACACACACACACACACACAGAGAGAGAAGCAGCTCCATGCAGGGAGCTTGATGCAGGGCTCAGTTCTGGGACTCCAGGATCATGCCCTGAGCTGAAGGCAGATGCTCAACCACTGGGGAGCCTGCTGGGGGGCTTGATCTCAGAATCCTGAGATCATGACCTGAGCCGAAATCAAGAGTTGGATTCTTAACTGACTGAGCCACCCAGGTGCCCCTTAGCTCTATTTTAATACCCTTGCATTCTCGTAAGCTATTTGTGGTTCTGTTATTTAACTCATTGTTTTGAGTACCCCTCTTTGATGTTAGTATGTTACTTTAATCATGAAGCTGCATCAGTCTGCAGTTGCATGTGGAAAAATTTAGGTTAGCCTCTATCCTCTACTGGTAGGCAAACATTAATTAAAATAGGGTGTTTGTTTTTTGTATGTTTTTTTTTTTTTAAAGTAGATTGTATTGGGATCCCTGGGTGGCGCAGCGGTTTAGCGCCTGTCTTTGGCTCAGGGCGCGATCCTGGAGACCCGGGATCGAATCCCACATCGGGCTCCCGGTGCATGGAGCCTGCTTCTCCCTCTGCCTGTGTCTCTGCCTCTCTCTCTCTCTCTCTCTCTCTCTCTCTCTCTCTGTGACTATCATAAATAAATAACAAAAATTAAAAAAAAAAAGTAGATCGTTTTTTGTTTGTTAACCTACTCCATCTCAGTTCCAAAAAAAGAATTTGAAATGACTTAAAAAAAAAATGTCCACAATTCAGCCTGATTTTTTTTTTTTTAAGGATAAAGAAATGATGTGAAATGGAAAATAAAGGTAAGGTTGGTAAAAGGATTCTAAGAGTGGGATGAAATGCTGATATTTACACTCAACTATTTGCTTGCTCATGTAGACTGCAGGTTTGGCTTTAAATTTTCAAAACAAGAGAGAAGCAGTCAGTGGACTGTGTCTATTGGATAAGAAACCGAAATGAAACAGCCAATTGTTAAGAAGTACAAATATTCCTTGCTCCTAGGTCCTGGAAAAATTTCTCCTGGGGATCTTTATGATGGGCTCTCTGTAATTCTGGAAACTTATCATTTAATTTTGGGGCATTTTCTTGAATAATTTCATTAAGATTTCTTGTCCTCAGTTTTTCTCTGTTTTGTCTTTCTAGAATCTCTATTATATTCGACCTCCAGAACTGATTATCCAAATTTCTTCTCTCTCTCTCCTGTTTTCTGTCTTAGCATTCTACTGTATTTTCTGAGACATTTCCTCAAATTTATAATCCAGTCTTTTTTCACATTTCTGGACAAATGAAGTATGAAGGGGTCTTTTTATTACTCAATTAAGATTGTAGTAAATATCTCTAAATGTTCCTTTTATCGAATCTGGCTCTTATTTTGTGGTTGAAATAGCATCTCTTACCTCTAAGAACATTTGTGATTGTTATCTTGTATCAGTATAGTTTGTTTCTTCCAAGTTCAGTTCAATTCAACAAATATTTATTGAGTCAGATTGTTCTTGGTGGTTAGTTTAGGTCAGTCCATGAAACAAACAAAGATACCTGTCACTCTGAAGATTACATTTGGTGGTGGGGAGCAAGGAGACAGACACAGTTGTAAAACAATAAGTAAACTACAATTGACCCTAGAACACAGTGGGAGTTTGGGGCACTAACCCTTTGATGCAGTCAGAAATCCATGTATCATTTTTGATTTCCCAAACACTTAATAATGCCTACTGTTGACCAGAAGCCTTACCAATAATGTAAACACCTGAATAGCACATACCTTGTATGTTCTCCGTATTACGTACTGAATTTTTAAATAAAGTAAGTGAGGGGCACCTGGCTGGCTCAATCAATAGAGCATGTGACTTTTGGTCTTGGGGTGGTAAGTTTGAGCCCCACGTTGGGTATAGGGATTACTTAGAAATATAATTTAAAGGGCAGCGCTGGTGGCTTAGCGGTTTAGTGCTGCCGTCAGCCCGGGGCGTGATCCTGGAGACCCGGGATCGAGTCCCACATCGGGCTCCCTGCATGGAGCCTGCTTCTGCCTCTGCCTGTGTCTCTGCCTCGCTCTTTGTCTGTGTTTCTCATGAATAAATAAATAAAATCTTAAAAAATATATATATAATCTAAAAAAATAAGCTGCAGAAAAGAAAATGTCATTAAGAAAATCATAAAGAAGAGAATACATTTGTAGTCCTGTACTGTGTTTATCACGAAAAAAAATGGGGAGAGAAGGGAGCAGCAGGGTCAAGATTGGCTTATGAAGGACCAGATGAGCCATATTAAAGAGTTAGGACTTTTGTTTTGAGAGCTCAGAAGATATTTATGGGCTCTAAGCAGAGTCTGATGTGATTGGTTTTGCTTTTTACAAGTATAGCTGTAGATGTAGATGTGAGGACAGTGGGTTGCAGCAAAGTGTGAGTATGAGGGAGACTGACTCTGAAGCTGTCAAGTTTCTCTGTGTTCCTTGATGATTAGGAGCTCCGTGAACTCATTTTAGGTTTAGGCATTTACCTAACCGAAATCCAAGGGGAGAAACGGTGCTGTGTGTATCTGTAAGATGTACTTTGCATTTGTGAGATCAAGTGTCATTTAAGTGAATTTCTGAGACTCAGCAGCGCCTGGAGGAAGGGTTTGTCACACTTTCACACTTTTATAATCTGAAGAGTTGGTTCCAATTCTGTGTGTAGAGAGATTGGAAGAGGGTTTTATTTTTTAAAATATTTTATTTATTTATTCATGAGAGACACAGAGAGATAAAGACACACACACACACACACACACACAGAGGCAGAGGGAGAAGCAGGCTCCATGCAGAGAGCCTGATGTGGGACTTGATCCTGGGATCCTGGGACGCTCTGAGCTGAGGGCAGGTGCTCAACCACTGAGCCACCCAGGTTTTATTTTATTTTATTTTATTTATTTTATTTTTATTTTAGGTTTTATTTTTATTTTATTTTAGGTTTTATTTTATTTATTTTTATTTTTTGGTTTTATTTTATTTTATTTTATTTTTATTTTTTTTTTTCAGAAGATGGTTTTAATTGTGGTCTGTGTTTTCTGTATACCCCAACTTGTCATTCGTCTTCCCACAATTCTTTTGGCTGGGGGACTGGGGACATTGAGATAATGGTTCAAACCACTTCTTAATGTTGGCACTGAAAATATAGGGATTAAGAATAGCCCCAAACTTGAAATTGTTTTCTCACAGTTACATGGTGACATTGGGCATTTTTCTTGCCTATATAATTCTTGGCTTGCTAAACTTAAGCAGAGGTTCATTGTTCTCTTTTGCTTTATCGTGATGAAAGTAATAGATGGTTCAGCAATGGGAGAATACAGAAAAGTAGAAGAAAAAAAAATCATAGGGCCCTCCATTTTGGAGACAAATTTTTGATAGAATTTTTCCTTCTTTTTTGTGACTTATTTTGTTTGGTTAAATATTTATGTTTGTTTTGTATGTACTTTTTGGATCAGAGTAATTTTATTTTGTGTACATAGTTGCATCAGTCTTTACATGAAAGTATCCAGTTTTTGAAATTTTGTTAGACTTCAAAGGATCTTTTTTTTTTTAAGATTTTATTTATTTGAGAGAGAAAGTAAGCGAGAGAGGGAGGATGATCAGGGGAAGGGGCAGAGAGAGAAGGAAAAGCAGACTCCCTGCTGAGCAGGGAGGGAGCCCGATATGGGGCTTGATCCCATGACCTTCAGATCATGACCCGAGCCGAAGGCAGACACTTAACTGACTGAGCCACCCAGGCGCCCCTAAAGCATTTTTGATGTTTGCAGAATAGTATATCAAATGTCTCTATATAGATGATACTCGATATAAAGGTCAACAAATAAATATATCTATTTTCTTATTTTTGAATACCTAAGGTGTCTGTTTTTTGCTGTATAAATAGCCCATATGTATGGAGCCCATATGATCATTGAAAATTCTTTTATTAGGGATGATCTGACACTGCATGCAGTATTTCAAGTTTATTGCTAGGTATCTACATGCTAGTTCTGGATTTATTTATTTTATTTTTATTTTAAAAAATATTTATTTATTCATGAGAGACATTGAGAGAGGCAGAGGGAGAGGCAGGCTTCATGCAGGGAGCCTGACTTGGGACTCGATCCTGGGACCCTGGGGACACAACCTGAGCCAAAGGCAGATGCTCAATGGCTGAGCCCCTCAGGGGCCCACTAGTTGTGGATTTATAAGACTTGAACTTAACCGCAGAATTAGGAAGTACAAGTTCTTGGATAATGAATAGAGTGGGGCTGTAAGGTGGATTTATGTGAACATTCTGGCCAGGTGGCACGTTGAGGACTTCTCTCTTTTCTACCTTGGGAGACTGAGGACATGAACCCACTTGGCAGTACTAACTCTCGTTAATGCATTGTTTCCTCCCAGGGGTCTGAGGAGAAGACAGTCGTGTACGTGGTCGGGAAGGCAGGCCGCCAGCACTGGCAGCATGTTTATACCGCTGTGACCAGGGGCCGTTGCAGAGTGTACATCATCGCCGAAGAGTGTCACCTCCGGAGCGCAATTCTGAAAAACAGTGTTCCCAGGAAAACTCGTTTAAAACATTTTTTGCAAAACAAGCTCTCCATGAGCTGTGCGTCTCCAGCAGAGTTTGCACCCCTGTCAAAGGGCTCTGGAGAGAACCAAGGACCGAGCCTGCAGCCATCGGCCAAACCACTGCCTCCTGTCCCCACCAACAGCGTGGCACATGGTGTCCTTGGAAGCCAGGCCTCTGTGGCGGAAGACAGGACGTTGGCCTTTCCAGGAGAATGGAAGTCGTCGGCATTTGATGAAGCGGATATAGAGGATGACCCATCAATACTTCGTGTGTCCAAGAGAGGTTGCGGCCTGAGTGATGCCGAAAGTCCCAGCAAGATCCGGATGGTAGGAGCCACGTTCTTGCCTGCCCTGGGTTTGAGTATCGCGAACTCCAGTGCACCTAGAACAGGCTGTGTACTTTCCATCAGTGCTACAGTGTGCCGTGGCACTTCCAGACACGTCTTCTCTAACCTCTATCACTGTCCTTTCTCCTGGGCCCTGTCGAGCCTAGCACTGTGCGTCACTGGGCTTGAGGCCAGCCCTCTAGGCGAACTCAGTCTCTGGATGTGGGGTGTCGTGCGGGGTGGAACTTGTCGTCTGCACCTCCTTTCTGCTTATCTTCCTTATCACCCACCCACCACCTCTTTTTTGGGTCACAGCCTCACTTTAATATCCGTTCTCCACCCAAGCGGCCGGTGAATTTATGACCAATGATCTCCAAATGAAGTTCCAAAAGAAGCTTAAGAATTGCTGTGGGTGCCAGCAGGTAGACTTGTTATACCGTGTCCTTAGGCTTTCAAGGCTGTGACAAAGAAGGGGCCAGGGAGGGAGCCCAGAGGAGAAAGTGCTCCTGTAACCTGCCAAGACCAAGCGCAGTTCTAAAGGGAGAATTATAGTTAGCCTCCCACCCCACGTGGAACGGAGACAGTACAACAGGTCTCTAAGCGTGCCTGGCAGGCGCAGCGTGTGACATCTTGGTGTGTTAAGCAGTCACAAGTATGGAGTAGTGTGGCTGGAGCACAGTGTGCACATGGAGGTTGAGCTGAGGACCCTGGAAGGGTTGGGAGGACACAGAGGGGACTGAATGTTCTCCTGAATGTGATGGAGAACACTAGATGCATTTTAAGAGCTCTGTGAATTGAAACTTGTGAAGGTCGCTTTGTAGTTTAGTAGATTATGTTTGGGAGGCTGTAGGGGACGAGTTCCTTGCAAGAAGATTATTTCGGTAGCTTGAACAGAATGATTAGGCTCTGAAGTCAGGTAGTAGCGATGGGGTTGGAGAAGAGATGCTTAGGGACTTAGTGGTCAGTTATATATAGGGACGCGGGGCAGGCTGGAGCATGAGTCTTAGGCTTCCTGCCTTGGCCTCCAGGAAGGATCCAGGTACCATTTTTTTTTTTTTTTAAGATTTTATTTATTTATTTATGAGAGACACACAGAGAGAGGCAGAGACACAGGCAGAGGGAGAAGCAGGCTCCACACAGGGAGCCAGATGTGGGGCTCGATCCTGGACCTCGGGGTCAAGACCTGAGCCAAAGGCAGATGTGCAACCACTGAGCCACCCAGGTGCCCTAGATCCAGTTACCATTAATCAAGATTGGAGAAAGAGGCTGATGGACAGGTTTTGTAAGGAAAGTGATAAAAGTTGGCATAATGAAAAGAGTAAGTTTCTTTTTTTTCCTTCTTGGAAGTAGTAGGATCCCTGCTGATTCTAAGCTTCATTCTGTGCTCCAGATCGACTCTTTGATGTGGAATTTCCATCTCAGCAAAACATCTCTTTCTGAAATTGAATGTGTTACCTCTTACAAAGACCCTGGGATATAATAAGGCTTTTGGCCTGGAGCAGAAAATTCCAGAGTCTTTTTCTAAAAGTTTCTTCCTTTTTATTTCTTCACACCAGCATGGGATGGGCGGGTTGTAGTTTCTGTGATGGCACAAAGAGACAGTGACAGCATTACCCATCTTCACTGCTGAGCTTGCCAAAGCTTTGAAGCTCTGGCCAACTCCAACACTGCAGAAGGTCTGTGAACCCCAGATGGCCAGCGCTGGCTGACGTCACTGCACCGTGCCTTCAGCGCAAGCAAAGCTCTCACGAGGCTTGTCAAAAGTGCGTGACACCTCCGAAACTCCCTAGAAATGAGGAAACTAAGAATTCAAAGCCTCAGGACTGATGAATTAGGAATAAATTCTGTATTTCCATAATTCTAGACTTTCTAGTGCATTGAGTTGTGTGATTTCTGAACGCTCAAAATTCAGTGACCAGGGCTGTCCCCATTCCTTTCCTTCATACCCACAGGGCTACCTCAGAGCCAGGTCAGCATTTAAATTCTGCAGGTCCTAATGCCAGAGCCACTCCCAGAGGAAAGCTTTGGCTTTTCTGTGGATTCATAGCTTTGGGTTTTGAAAAAAAAGCTTTAAAAGAAAATGTCCTGATTTCGTTTTTGTTTTTTGTTTTGTTTTGCCTAGCGTCCCACCACCAAAAGGGAAAGACAGAAATGTCCCTTTAAACAAAAGCATGTGTATAAATGTTCTAAAATTTATCATATAAAGCAGTGATTTCCAGAATATTTTGAAAGAAAATGACATTTAATTATTAAAAAAAAAATCTCGGAAGGATGTAATCACAAAAATCCCTGAATAAAGATAGTTCTTGTATTTATCAGGGTTCTGCAGTAAAACAAACCAGTAGGCTGTGTCTATAACCCTATTATTTACCTGCCTACCTGTCATCTGTCATCCGTTTAGATTGATGTAAGGAATTGGCTCACGATCATGGAGGCTGATAAGTCCCCAGTGTGCGGGGCGGGCCGGCAGGCGGGGGACCCACAGACTTGGTATTGCAGTATGGGTCCAAAGGCAGGGAGGATTCTCTCTCTGGGAGGAGGGCAGTCTCTTCTCTGTGAAGGCCTTCGGTCGATGGAATGAGGCCCACCTGCATTATGGAGGGTGACCTGCTATATCATTGTCTACTGACTTAAATGGTTATCTCTTCTAAAAAATGTGTTCACAGGAACATCTGGAATACTATTGGGCCAAAAATCTGGGTACCACAGCTTAGCCAAGTTGGCAGCTAACGCTAGCCAGTACAGTGCTCTAAATAGAATACAGCATTGTGAGGGGTTGAGTTGCTGTTCTCATGGCCATACTGGTCCACTGCCTGCTGCTCAGGAATCACTAAGGGTACCAGCGATCCTGGCAGTGCAGGTGGCATCCTGCCACACCCAAGGCTGGCATCACGGACGTGCACCCTGAGTAAGCCGTCTGTCACACAGGGCTTTGTGCTTGAAACTGGTCTATACTATTTTTACGGTTGTGCACTTGCCATCTTGAAATTCTTATCTTTGAACAAAGGGCCCACGTTTTATTTTTTATTATTTTTATTTATTTTTGGGGGCCCACGTTTTAATTTGGAAGTGGGCTGCCCAAGTAAGCCGTGGCCACGCCGTTGGACGTTGTGTGTGTACTCGTTCAGCAGTGTCCCCTCTTGACACCGGTCCCAGAGCTGGGTGCTGGGAGAGCCACCAGGAGCAGCAGATGCAATCCCACAAGGAGCTAGCAGCTGATTGCACGGGGCCCTCCCATCTTCCACGGGGTGGGGGAAATGTACTGGGTCTGCCGTAGCAGCAGCCAGAGGGAGTCCAAGTACACGGGGGAGATTGACAATATTTTCACCAGATTAACTTTATCCTTATTGTTGTCCTAACAGGTAGAAGAATCATCTCCACAAGTGTCTTCCAGATTTCAGAGTTTGAGACTGAATAGGTTAACCCCCAGGCAACTTTTCATATCCAAACATAATCAAGAAACTTAATTTTATTTGAGATTACTCGAAGTAATTATCTTTTTTTTTTTCCCTACTCAACACAAAATGAACATCATAGCATTAGAGAATCGAGATCTAAAACGGGATGTCTGTAAGTGGAGTTTTATTTTTTATTTTTAAATTGTTTTTCTAAAGATTTTATGTATTCACGAGACACAGAGAGGCAGAGGGAGAAGCAGGCTCCCTATGGGGAGCCCGATGCGGGACTCGATCTCAGGACTCCGGGATCAAGCCCTGAGCTGAAGGCAGACAGATGCTCAACCACTGAGCCACCCAGGCAGCCCCAACTGGAGTTTTATTTTAAGGTGTTTGTGATAGCAGAGATTTTTAACTTCATTTAATCATAGAAAACTGTAATGATTTCAACATCTGTCATCATGAAAACTGGTAGCCTTGGGCATAAATGCAAGAAAAAGTTATGATGTGTTTTTTTTTTTTTTAAACTGTACTTTCGAAAGTTATTTTTATTTTTTATTTTTACGACAATGCCTTTATTAACTTCCATGATCATTGTGGGTGATCTCTGCCAACGATTTGAAGCCATGATAAGAGAAACTGTAATTATACCTCTTGTATTATTGACACCCATTTCAGGGTGTTGGTCTTTTGCCAATTGCTCATCTTGCCAGGTTGCTGCTTGCTCCATCCCTGCTGGCCAGACCCATGTCACCTGAGACTGTATTCCTGGAAATTACCTTCTGAGTTGGGTGTACTTTTTTTTTTTTTTTTCTTAGTTGGAGATATAATTGACATAGAACACTGTGTAAGTGGAATTTATGCAACGTGTTGACGTGATACATTTTTATAGTCAATGTGATTACTCCTGTCCATCATGTCCCGTAATTGTCATTTCTTTTAGGAATACATTGTTTTGAAGATACTCCACTTTCGAAAATTATTTTCTTGGAGAGTGATTTCTATTTTTATTTTTTTAGAGTTTTATTATTAAATGGTAAAAGAAAAAGTTAAGAGAAAATCCTGTTATTCCAACCTTTGAAAAATGGCCTCAGTGAGATATAATTTACACACAATTCACCCCTTTGAAGTGTACAACTGAGTGGCTCTTAGTCTATTCACAGAGTTGAGCTACAACCACCACAATGGATTTTTGAACATTTTTATCCACCCCCCCCCCAAGAAACACGGTATGTCTTGGCTTGGCTTGGATCCCCTCAACTCCTCCAGTCTCAGGTAACTACTAATTTATTTTGTCCCTATTGATTTGTCTGTTCCAGACATTTCATAGAAATGGAATCATACAATACGTGGTCCTTTGTGACTGACTTCTTTAACTTAACATCATGATTTCAGACTTTGTGTTGTGGCATGTATTAGTGCTTTCATTTTTTTTTTTTTTTAAGATTAAAAAAACTAGCATTGTCCCTTTTATTGGGTAGATGTTTTGGATAATCTAGGCAAGGAAGGTCATGCAGTCTAATCTGATGAAGCCTATATCCTTTGTGGACTGATGGAAAAACTGGTAGCATATTATGGAAGCTGTATTTCTGGAGCAGACCATGTTGGTTTGAGCTGATGGGGCAAAAATCAGGAACCCTGGCCGAAGTTTTGCAGGAAGCTCCAGCAGAGCTGCAACTGACCTATCGTGGTTTCATTAGTGCAGTGAGGCAACAGACCTTCATCTTTTATTATCAAATAAATATTCCGTTGTATGGATATAGCACACTGACTTTCTCTGTTCATCAGTTGAAGGACATGTGGGTTGTTTCCACTTTTTGGCTATTATAAAATGCTACAATGAACATCCATGTACAAGTTTTTCTGTGGGCATATATTTTAATTTAATTATATACATAGGAGTGGAATTGTTTGGTCATGTGATAACTATATGTAACCTTTTGAGGAGCTGCCAGATTGTTTTCCAAAGCAGCTGCACTGTTTGTTATTTATAATTGGAATGTGAGGGTTCCAGTTACCCCACATTCAAACACTTGTCATTATCTGACTTTTTGATTATAGCCATTCAGTAGGTGTGAAGTGATATTTCAAAGTGTTTTTTTTTTTTATTAAAGATTTTATTTTTTAAAAATCTGTGCACCCAGTGTGGGGCTTGAACTCGCCACCCCAAGATCAAGAGTCAGGTTCTACTGACTGAACCAGCCAGGCACCCCTCAGTGTGGTTTTGATTTGCATTTCCCATATGGCTAATGATATGAATTATCTTTTCATGCACTTGGTCATTTGTATGACTTCTTTGACGAAATTATTCAGATGTTTTACCCGTTTTTAAATTGGATTACTTTTCTTTTTATTGAGATATAGAAGTTGTTTATATGTTCTACATACAGGCCCTTTATCAGAAACATTATTTGCAAAAAAAAAAAAAAAAAAAACCAAGAAAGAAAAAGAAACAAAGGTTCCCACTCTGTGGATTTTACTTTCACTTTTTTCATGCTGTCCTTTGAAGCACAAATTTTCCATTTTGATGATGTCCGACGTAGCTCATTTGTTTTTGCTGTCTATGCTTTCGTGTTATATCTAAGGAACTACTGCCTGCCAAAGTCATGAAGATTTACTCCTGTTTTTCTTTTTTTTTTTTTTTTTAAAGATTTTATTTATTTATTCATGAGAGACAGAGAGAGACAGAAACACAGGCAGAGGGAGAAGCAGGCTCCACGCAGGGAGGCTGATGTGGGACTCGATCCCAGGACTCCAGGATCACACCCTGGGCTGAAGGCAGGCACTTAACCGCTGAGCCACCCAGGCTGCCCCTACTCCTGTTTTTCTTCTAAGAATTTAAATAGTTTTAGGTCTTACATTTAGGACTTTGATTCATTTTGAGGTAATTTTTGTGTATGGTGAAGGGTCCCACGTCATTCTGTTGCATGTGGATATCCAGTTTCACTTGTTCTCAGCTCCATTTCTTGAACTATTCTTTCTTCATTCACTTGTCTTGACACCCTTATCAAAAATCAACTGATCATAGAGGTGAAGGTTTATTTCTGGATTCTGGGTCCTGATTCTAACCTGTTGATGTACACATCTATTGGTATGCTGGCACCATGCTGTCCCAGTTACCTTTAATTTAAAATCAAGAAAAGCGAGTTCTCCAATTTGTTCTTCTCTTTCATGACTTTTGGACTACTTGAGTCCCCTGCGCTTCCACGTGCATTTTAGGAGCAGCTTGTCAATTTCTGCAAAACAGCCAGTTGGGGTCTTGCCATCTTAATATTGAGTCTTCTGATCCATGAACATGTGATGTCTTTCTATTTATGTCTTCTCTCATTTCTTTCAATAATGCTTTGTTTTGCATTTTTTAAGTTAAATTTATTTCTAGGTATTTTATTTTTTATCCTAATGTCAATGAAATGTTTACATTTTTGTTCATTGCTACTGTATAGAAACACAATTGATCTTGTATCTTTCAAGCTTGCTAAACCCATTTATTAGTTTCAATAGGTTTTTAGTGGATTCCTTGGGATTTCCTACAAATGCAAATAGAGATACCCAAATAGAGATAGTTTTAATTCTTTCTAATCCAAGTGCCTTTTATTGGATTTTCTTGTCTTAATGCTCTGGCTAGAACCTTTAATAAATTGTTAAATAGAAGTGGTGAGAATGGACATCCTTGCCTTGTTCCTATTAACTTACAAGGCCTGGAAGATAGTCTGCAAAAATGAAAGTGTTGGGACTGTGGTGTAGTTTTTTTTTAATAGCATACATTAAAATTTATACATTTTGATAATTTATATACACATATCTCATAAAATACACGTAATGTTCTCTGGGGGTAGATGTTATGATCCTTGAGTGAAAATCTACCTTTGTTACCTAAAATAAATATATAGTGGGGGTATTTCTGTCTGCAGGCTGTTTTAGGACTTAAACATCTTTTATATTTTGTCCTTACAACAGTCCTGGAGTGCAGATTTGACCTTCAGTATCACAGGTGGGGAAACTGACTCACAGTAACTAAGTTTTATAGCATTGGTGAGTACCAGACCTGGAATTCAAACCCAGATCTGATTTAAAACCCATGTTCCGGGCAGCCCCGGTGGCACAGCGGTTTAGCGCTGCCTTCAGCCCAGGGCCTGATCCTGGAGACCCGGGATCGAGTCCCACATCGGGCTCCCTGCATGGAGCCTGCTTCTCCCTCTGCCTGTGTCTCTGCCTCTCTCTCTGTGTATGTCTCTATGAATAAATAAACAACAACAAAAATCTTAAAAAAAAAAAAAGATTTTATTTACTTATTCATGAGAGACACACAGAGAGAGAGAGGCAGAGACACAGGCAGAGGGAGAAGCAGGCTCCATGCAGGGAGCCCGATGTGGGACTCGATCCCGGGTCTCCAGGATCAGGCCCTGGGCTGAAGGCAGCGCTAAACCGCTGTGCCACCGGGGCTGCCCCAATAAAATCTAAAAAAAAAACCAAAAACCCATGTTCTTCTCATTCTTCCATGCTGTTTTTCAAGTTTATGGCAAAAGCTTTCCCCTTTAGAAAACTCTGTTACCAATAAGTGTTGCGTGGGGCTCATCTAGAATACTGAAATATAATCAAAGCACCAAAAAACCCGCATGTCATAATTTTTGGCTTTTTAAAATCACTGTTTATTCCATTTGGTAGAGGGTTTTTTTTTTTCCATACAAATATTTGCAACAATTTTGAATTCCCCAAAACCATACATAGACGATAAATACCATGCTATTAAAGTATTAAATTTGTACAAAAATACTTTACAGCTTAATACTTGTTTGTTACAAATAAAAATACATATTTAAGTGACTCATGATCTTTTTTTTCTCTTAACATGATTCTGCTTTATACTCTCTTGCCCTGGCGGGTTGTGAAATATGGTTGAAATAATATATTTCTCTGCACAAAAAGAAAGGTGAGCTTTTCCCTTAAACAAAGGACACAGTGTTCAAATGCTTTACGTAAGCAGTTGTTGGAACTATCGACCAAAATGAAAATGTTTGGAAAATAATCAGTTCAATATGGAGATTCTACAATCAATATACAGACCTATTTTTTTTTAATATTCACCAATAACAGTTATTAGTGTAACTATTCAAAATATCTGAACAAATGAGAACAGTTGCTGACAAACATCTTAAAAGCAACTGTCACAATTTATTGCTTTGAGGGATGGTAATAATTGGCAATGCATTTTGTGAAAGATGTATTTACAATTTCAATAAGTAGCATGGCTCAGAACAAAAGATAGTCCAGTGTCATTTTAAAGTACATGGGCTGTACACCCCTCTATAGCCAGTTTTTCAAAACATGTCAAGCAAGATGAGTTGGATTCACCTATCATTAGGATAAGCATCATTTGAATAGACTCTTCATTCTCCCTTCAATTCTTAGTCTTGAATTTTAAAAATAAGATAACTAATTCTCAGTGTTACTAAGCACTCTAATTCATTATCAGAGATTTGCAGCTATTAAAAATGTGTCCTTAAAAAAAAAAAAACAGGTCACAAGACATATCCTGTTTGTTAATTTGTTGCATAGGGAATAGCATACATCTTAGTTAAAATCATTCCTATATTGGGGCAAAACATTTACCACCACCTAATATGATCTCCTACGTGCATCATCGCTGAAACATTTTAAGATAACGTAATGTTATGCCTGGACCCCTCCTCCCATGGCAGCAGTCCCAGCCACATCCCAAGCTCCAGTTCCCCTAGGAGAGCCAGCTTTGTGACAAGCCTTGCTGGTCAAGTCCTCAACATTGACGACTTCACAGTAAGAAACTGATTTCAAAGTGAATGAAGGAAATTGTCATAGAGCATCTTTTCAAACAGACGTTTTCTCTTTTTAAAAAGTGGTTGGAAGATGAACTTGTAAAAAATTTCCTCTGATGTTAATTGGTGGGGAGGGGTGGCCTATAGCTTCTTTTTCTCTACCATGGGGCTCGGCAAGGAATTGCCCGCCATATACCCTAGCGGTCACCAAGAAAGAAACCTCTTCAGCTTGAAAGGGGAAGTGAACATGAGCCATGAGAGAGATTTAAAAGACCCCTGTGCTTGCAGTTAATGCCACGTGATTATCTGTGCTTTAAATGCCACAGAAATCTTAAAGGGATTTTTTTTTAGCACCATGTAGATATTGTCTTTTGTCCTGCTTTATGAAAAGCATTGCTATAATGTGTTAGTGGGTTCTCGTATCTCCAAATTACCACCATGACTAGGCTGTTGGAAAAAAGCACTGTTCTGTTCACTCCATTCTCCTCCTGGTAGAGTCTGTTCTATAGACTTCTGTGAAGCCAGTGGGTTTCTACTAATAACCAAGTCCAGCTTATTACCGGATTCTGCTATGAGGGGCACAACAAGGCAGCAGTCAAAGTCTCTCGTTCGGACATGATTCACCTGAAAAATCAAGAAGAGTCGTTTGGAATTGTCTTCACAACACTCTGGGCGCAGAGTCACGCTTCTGGTGTAACAGGTGTCCTGGGGGTGCCCCAGGAGCAGCCTCACTGAGTCCCTGGCTCACTTACTCCCTGCCACTAAATCGCAAAGCCCTGGGGAGCGGGGGATGGGGACACCTGGCTGTATTCTGGCTCAGGCAGGTGCTCTGAGCGCCGAGGCTTGTCCCTCATTTCCAGATGAGGGAAGCGGGGCACAGAGTGGTTAAGGGATCTGCGTCAGAGCAGCAGCTGGACGTGGCCCTGCTAAGATGTGCTCCCGGCCGTCTGCTGCCCCCCAAGCTGTGCTCCTGACCGTTACGCCTCTCCGAAGGGGCCCGTCCCCGCCTCAGCTGACACTTGTGCTCGTCTTCTTTTGTGTCTCCTTACTCTTCACCAGCTACGTGCTGCTTCTGCGCTGCGACCTTCCCTTCTCAATCTTCTCACGTCTGGAACCCCACACTTAGAGTGTACAATGGACTCCAATGTCCAACCCGATGTCTGGAGTGGGGTCTCTGGGTCTCATCCACTCTGGCCTGTCGCACTGGTCACACTTGAGACACCCACTCAGCCTTGAGACACCCTCTCCTTCCTTGGCTCTCTTCTCTCCGACACCAACTTGTTCGATCCTCTTATCATGTCAATTTGCTTCCAGTTCTTCCCTGCCTCTTATCTCTTCCCATCTCGGAAATTTGCTTTCCCCAGGCTTCCAGCCTTGGTTGTCCTCTCCCCCTCGCTATTAGCCCACCGTAGGTAACTGTGACCCAACACACGCCTTCAGCATCCCGAATCTCCTCAATCTGGATACAGTATCTCTTCTGAGCAAGGGACCCAAACTGCCACTTGCCCCAGACTGCTGTCCCAGGATGCCCCGAGGGTAGAAAGGACTCCCTGTCCCTACCTGGTACTGACCTGGTCCCCTTCACTGTGTGGAGCCCCCCTTCCTCATTCCACTCCAACCCACCTCCAGTATTATTCTTTCTAAATTGCAAATCACGCCATTATTCTGCGTAAGAAATTCATACGCTGGAGAGCAACATCCAGGAGCTTTGGCCAAGCGTTCAAGGCCCTCACGCCTGAATCCGGTCTACCTGGTACAGCCTCAGCTTCTGCGGAAGCAGCCACAGCACGGCGCCCATGCAGAGCTTGGGAAGGGCCACCGTAGTTCTTCATTGAGCAAATATTAGCGTGTCTATGGAGAAGGAAAGCATCCCAGAACACCAGGACGGGACCCAGAGTCCCAAGATCACCAGAATGTGACTTTAAAACGACCTAATTCCCCAATGATGACTTGCTTTGGTGAAAGTGTGTCCGAAAGCCACCCCATCGGGTCGGCCTCACGCTTCGAAAGTCGGGTCCTGGGTGCCAGACGCATTCCAGCTAAACACGCTCTCAAGACTGACATCCACCCTCTCTTTTTCCTATAAAACATGATTTCTAAAAACCGTATGGAAAATCAGGCGTTTGCTTTGCTCCCTGAAACCCTACCTGTCACCCTACTCCGCTCGCTACACAAGCTTTGGCTTTTTGCTTCCAGATCATGGTGAGAGATCCTGAGATACGTCACGGCTATGAGGGGAAGCGGGATAATACTGTGCTGGCACCTGTTCTCAAGAAGTTTATCATCTGCTGGGCAATAGGTACAGAACCAGGCAATTTCAGTAGCTGGTGAATCCTACCGAGGGCAGGAGTGTCCGCCCCATAGAGGAGGGGCCCCTAATTGAGTGTCGAGGCAACGAAAGGAAGATGGGTAGGCACCGGTCGAGCAAGACTTGGCCAAGTTACACCAACCAAGGCTTCACCTGCGGTCTTACCTGTAAGAGCCTATCGTAGGGCTTTAAGCCACCGAGATCTCCTGGCCCAGCCGGGCGGATATTTTTGACATACACTCCTTTCTCCAACAAGCCATCGGCTACGCTGAACCCAAAGTCCTCCATGTCAGAGCTCTTGTACAAGGTGACCTGCAAAGTGACAAAACGGGAAGGGGCGTTCAGCGTGGCTGCAGGCTGTTGTTGGCGAGACTTCTTCTCCAGCGATCTTTTCACACTCACTGACTCCGTACCGCTCCGGGTCTTGTTAGGCAGCTCCCCACACCCCTGCACTTCTCCCCCTCCCCGAGAACATCTGTGCAATGTGTAAAGGGCCACGCGGAACGGAAAAGGAAGGAGGAGGCGAAGGGCTGGAGGGCCCAGGCCTTTCCTGCTGCGGCTCCTGGCAGTCGTCACGTGGATGCAGGTGAGGCTCTGCCCCCAGCAGGTGGGCGTCTCTGTTTGCTGGGGGCAAGCGCAGGTGTGCGGGCATGGGGAGCAGCGGCAGCGGCCCCTGGATGTCAGGACGGAGCCAGGCTCGCTGCCTGCCCACGTGCCTGCTGCTGTGCTGGAGCGGCGCTCAGCACGTCGTCTTCCTCTGAGCAAGTGCCAGCCTGGAGTCAGGTGCCAGCCTGGAGTCCACTGCTCTGCTATAGCCCAGTGGGCATGTCCATCCCGACAGCAACACGAGTTAAAAGACCTGAAGGTGTTCGTGTGAGTGGCACCGCGCTCTGGGGGCTGGTGCTGATAGCAGCCCCTTTGGTTCAGCGACTTAAGTCATTGACCCTTCTCAGCAGTGGGCCACCTGCCAGCTAACGCCCATGCTCACCCCCACCCCAGC